CCCCAAAACCCCAAAACCCCAAAACCCCAAAACCCCTTTACATTTAGTTAAAACTGAATAAAATCTAGAACCTATTATGGATCCTGTATGCTTTAAAGTTGGATATCATCTCATTTTCTTCGCTCTCTTCACTACTGCTTGAGCTACTATATCAAAATTAGCTAAGGCAATGCTTTATACTAACCTATCAGGATTTCGGAGATCTTTATACAATTTTCTTCTTCTCCTCTTGCATTGTTCTGCAAGTTTTACAAGAACATTGGTTGGCTTCTCATCAAGCTCTACTCTATCGATATAATTTTCAAGTCTATTGATGTCTGTTGGGACTTCATCCATCATTCTTCTCACATCGTGGATTCTGAATTTAGGTCTCTCTACTTCACCATTCAGGATAAATCCAAGTGAAGCATTGTCGTAGTTAGTCAGGTCGATATCAGGGATCTCCACTTCATCAAGATGTTCTCGGGAGTCACTCTCAGGAAGGTTCTCATGCATGTTAAACACTGACACTGTCGGTGCTGCTTTTGCTGATGGCACTAAAGAGTTAAAAGTGGCTTACCCAGTACTTTATAATCTGTCAAAACCAACCGTTTAGGTTGCAGAAAGTTCCCTGGTTTTGGAGAAGGCATTTTTCTTGGGATCATTGAAAAGACCGGTTTCTTTGTTGTCTGTACTTTTGACTAATTGCATAACTCAATGAAGATACCTGGTAATTTATTGGCTCAAGACCTTCAAGATCAGATTTTCCTTTCATCTTCGCCATTCGTTGAGCTTCGATTTCTTTAGCCTTTAAATTTTCTTGCTGATGCTGGTAATTCTTTTTCAATTTTGTTATTAGCTTATTTCTCCGTAGTCAACTTTCCTTCTTCAGTGATTACCTCATTTGTAGAGGTTTGCATCGGTGTTAATGGAGAGTGATCTACAAGGTTTGGTACGAAAATACCTGAGATCCTTGGCAAATGAGGACTAATTTTATTAGCTGTCTTATTTAGCCGTTCTCTATTCGTTGTATATGAACCTTGCTATATTTTTAAGATGCTTCCTTACTTTGCGATGACTATTTATAGCTGAGTAATCTAAATGTTTCATACTCATACGTACTAATTTGTCCAGCTCTGAGGCCTTGTCCAAAGCTGACCCTAGAAGCTACATATCAGAAAGATACCTTTTCCTTGGGTCGCTAGCAAATGCAAACGTTTTGTTAAAATTGAGATCCTCGTTGAAACTGTATTTTATCTTTTTGCCACTGGCTAGAAATATTATTTGAAGCTTTTACCTTCAAGTTGTATTCCTGTCTTGTTCAGCTGGTTTTTGCCCCTATGGTTTTTTCTCCTTCTGGAAGTATTTGAAAACTTGCTATTTGCTGCAGCAAGATCAGAGTAATAGGTATTTGGTCGATTGGAGTTGTAGGCATTCTGACCCATAACTCCTGGGAAATTAAAAACTCTAGGCATAACATTGCTAGAGTCTATTTCTTGCCTCTCTCCGAAGTGAGGAGACATTATAGATCTATTTTGAAAATTTACTGTAGAATCATCATTTTCACTGATTGATTGAGGAGAATACATGTTCCTTATAGGGTAATTAGCATTGATGGTTATCCTATTCTGACTACTTTTTGCATGCTTTCTTTGGTTGCTGATAAAACTAATTCTTTGAGAAGGATTTTTAAAGTGGGTAACTCTATTTTGACCAGGGTTTGTAGATAATCGGATTCTATTTCTTGTATCTGAAGATGAAAAATTATGATTACCTTTAAGAACACTTTGAGTATCTGAATATTCTTGATTTTCTTCACCTTCTCCTTCAGGTGTTTCTTCATAATCAACAGCTTTATTATGTAAAGAAGTCAACAAATCCCTTGCTATATTGATTCAATGGGAATATGATCCAATCCTGAGAGATCCTTTGATTCCATAGTAACTAATTGCAACGATTATAAGGATGTTCTCTACTGCGATCCTTTGAAGGAGATGCAATAATTTTTCTCCACAGCCTTCAAGATCACCGTTGTCAAAACCTTCCACAATATCATGCCCATTTTTAGACCTATTTGTATATCAAAGTTAAACTTTACCTGATGAGAACTTCTTCAGGGGAATTTATCCGATAAGCCATGATAACATTCTTAGCCTCAAAAAATTTATTATCTTCCTTGGAGATTTGTTCCAGAGCTGTGTCGATATCATCTTGGCAAATAATGGCTACTGCAAATGCTTTATAGATCACTTTATCATGCTTATTGGTTAATGAGCCAACAATAGACATCTTGTTATTCACAATCTAGAGGGATGAAAGACAAAGAGTACTTCTGATTTCTGGTTTAGAGATTCTTCACGACTTGAAGCTGGAAGATTAAGCACCAAATTACCTAACATTTCTGAATTGTGATGCTCGGTGTGTTCTGGAGCAGCAATCTGTGATTTTGATAAATTGCTAGCAGTAACTGATTCCTCCTGTATTATAAGTATCTTCTCTGTATAATTTACTGGGACTATCATCATCAAATGCCTCTGATTGGCTAAGAATGTCCATATTCAATATAAATAAAATAAAAAGGGGTTTTGGGGTTTTGGGGTTTTGGGGTTTTGGGG